TTTAGGTTTAGCTTTAAGCAGCAGCTATTGGGGTCTCAAGAGTTGGAAGCTTTCGTGAATGTCTCTTGGCTGCTACTCTCTAAATTTTCTCTTAAATGGTTTTTCCTCCTGGATTGGAAAGCTGCATGTGAGAATCCCTGTCTGAATTTTCCTTTTTGCCAAAGGGTCTATTTATGGAATGTTACTATTTTGGAACAGATAATTAGCAATACTTAGTATATCTATTATCCTGTTAAGTTTCCAATACAGTCTTCATTATAAACTCTTCTTTCTTTGGTTGTATGTTAACTAGTTTATGTTTTGCTTAATCGAGTAGTATGACTAGTCAGCACAGTGGTTAGCACTGCTGCCTCACAGTACCAGGTACCCAGGTTCGATTCCAGCCTTGGGCGACTGTCTGTGAGGAGTGTGCACATTCTCCCAATGCCTGCGTGGGTTTCCTCGGGGCGCTCTGGTTTCCTCCCACAGGCCAAAGATGTGCAGGCTAGGTGCATTGGCCATGCTAAATTGTCCGTAGTGTTCAGCAATGTGGAGATTAGGGGGGATGGGTGTGGGTGGGATGCTCCAAGGGTCAGTGTGGACTCGTTCGGCCAAAGGGCCCGTCTCCACTCTGTAGGGATTTTGTTGTATGAACAATGCATCTGGAATAGACACTTTATATTTGCTTTAAACGTAAGAAGTAGTTAGAGTCGAGGCTACCTTAAAATATTTTGAGGGGATCTGATGTGGCCCATAACAAAAGTTTTTTCAATACATCAAATAAGGACCAAGAAATAGGAGAAGAACACAACATTAATCCAGTAAAAGACAAAAATGAATTCTAATAATTCTACGGGTGCATTAAAAAGAAATGTCTGGCTTTCAGAAATGCGGATCTATTAGAGGCAGAGTCAAGAGAATTCATAGTGGGCAGCACAGAAATTTTAAATAGAGAAGTTAAACAATTAAGGTGTCTGTTTTCATTAAGGAAAATACAAAAAAAACTGCCAGAATTAGAAAACAAATTGACTCGCCAGAACGAGGAACGGAAGAAAATTTGCATTACAAAGAAATTAAATGAAGCTGAAAGTTCAGATGCTGGCATGCGCTGTTCAGTATCTGGGAATCTACAGGGGGAGGCGATGGCTTTGTGGCATTATCGCCAACTTTTAATCCAGATACATGGGGACCCAGGTTTGAATAGTGGAATTTGAATTCAATAAAGATCTGGAATTAAGAGTCTAATGATGGCTATGAAATAGTTGTCAGAAAAATCCACCCGATTCACTAATGCCTCCTTCTAGGGAAAGAAACTGCCATTCTGATCTACATGCAACTCTAGACCCACAGCAATTTGACCAACTCTTAAATACCTTCTGAAATGGCCTAGCAAGCCACGCAGTTGTAGCAATCGTTAGAAAAAAAAAGTGTCAAAAAAAAAGGAAAAAAAAACTGCATCCCACCATCAACCTTGGCACCAGATTTTGCCCGGTCAACTTGCAAAATGCCATTAACAACATCTGGGGACCACTACCAAACTTGGAAGAGCTGTCTCACAGACCAGTCAAGAAAAAGCCTGACACAGTCATACTAACAGAATTATACCTTATAGACAATGCCCTAGACAGCATAATCACCAGACCTATTATGTCCTGTTCTACTGGCAGAGCAGGTCCAACTGGGATGGCAGCACAAAATGAGGTTATCCACTTTGTCAGGAGAAACAGATGTGCAAAGTATTTCTTAAAGGGATGGGGGTTGGAAAGCTACATGTCCAAAGACACTGGGTTCCCTGTCGATAAGAGCACTGAACACTAACATGTGAGTGCAGTAAACTATTAGAAAAGCTAATGGAACGTCAGTCATCATTGTATGAGGGTTGGAGTATAGGAGTTGAAGTGTTACTTCTGTACAATTGAAGATTAGTTAGACTGCACCCTGGAGTACCATGTACAGTTTTGGTCTCCTTACTGCAGGAAAGATTGTTTTGCCATAAACAGAGTAATACAAAAAGGTTCTGAAGATGTGTTCCTGGACTGGTGGGACAAGCTGATAAAGAAAGATTGGTCAAACTTGGACTGTGTTCTCTGGAGTTTTGAAGAATGAGAGATGATCTCATGGAAATCTACCAAGTACTTAAAAGGGACAGATAGGGTAGATACAGGCAAGATGGTTCCCTGTTGCAGAGTCGAGAACCATAAGGTACAAGTTAATATTAAGGAAGATGCTATTTAAGAAAAAGGTTAGAATTTTTCTTTACTCAGAGGGGGCTGATCTTTGGAATTCTCTAGGGTAGCTTAAATTTGATTTATTGTTGTCACTTGCACCAAGATACAGTGAAAAAAGTGTTTCTTTTTACATGCTTATACAAGCAGATCATACCATACAGAGTGTGTTATGGATCAGACCCCCTCAAAATATATTAAAGGAGGCAGCCTCGATCCAAGGCAGCCTCGGTCAATGGGAGGTGCTGTTTTCCTGATGCAATTTGATTGGTCAAACCATGCAACTTGAAGCAAAACACAATTTATTCAAACACAGTAGTTAAAATACGGCAAAACAAAGAGGAACTTGGAATAACAATTCTATTAGAAAACTTACAACAATAGATACAATAATTATTACTAATTAACTGCTCCAATACATCAACAACCCACAAACACACCCTTGGCAAAAAGACCAGTTCAGAAAACAGATGATCCCACATTCAGGTCTCCAATTCAGGAAGAACGAACATCAAAAGACAAATTCTGAGAGAAAACTTAAAAACAGTATAGCAGACAGGAGAGATTCCCTGTCTCCCAACCCTGCTGAGACCGCAGGAACAACTGCCGAAAGCTAACTAAAAATCCTGGATCTGACTGAGCTTGACCACATCCACTCAGGCTGCTTCTATTGTTCCAACATCTAAAAAACGGAAGTTCTTGATCTTTTCATAGACTGCTTGTCACTTTTCCCCCAATCTCTTTCTGAAAGAAACCAGAACAAAAAGCACCTCTGAAAGCTACAGTATTGTCACAAGTGCATCAGGGTAGCAGAAGAGAGTGCAAAATACAGTGTTACATCCATAGAGAAGGTGCAAAAGGCATGACCGTACTAAACGACGATGGCCTACTCCTGTTTCTCTTCTCCTCAGATAAGAGTTCCAAAGCTGTTCACAATATCCAAGGTGTGATCTACCTTGTAATTTGTATAAGCAAGATCTCTCTCTTTCTTATACTTCAGTCCCTTTGAAATAAAGGCCAGTTTGTTTGCCTTCCACATTACCCACTGAACTGGGATATTTTGTGCATCAGGACCCCCAAAAACCCTCTATGCTGAAGCTTTACCCACAGCTCTCTGACACAATGAGTACCATAGATGCATCATCCACTGGCTGAAGAAATTCCCCCTTATTTCAATTCCCTTCACTCAGACTGTGCCCTCAGGTCCCAGTCTCTCCTACTGGTGGAAACATCTTTTCCATGTCCACTCTATCCAGTATTCTGTAAGTTTCAATGAGATTCCCTCCCCCTCATGCTTCTAAACTCCATCAAGTACAGAACCAGAGTCTTCAATCACTCCTCATATGGCAAAACCTTGATCCCCAAGATCACTCTCATAAACCTCCTGTTCTGAATAGCCTCCAATACCAGCACATCCTTCCGTAGATATTAGACGAAACGTTGAGACCATATTGGAATATTGTGAGCGGAGTTTTATACAGCCTCAGGAGCCTTCCTAGCGACCAATTCAGCCTTCATGTCAACCTTGAGAATCCTGAACTAGGAGTCAGGTCCCTTGCTGTTTCAGATTTCTGAAGCCTTATCCCATTTAGAAAGAAAAAAGTCCATTCCTATATTCTTTAACTCACATAAACCTCAGATTTTCACACACTGTATTCCATCCATTCTCCTAAATCTGTCCAAGTCCTGCTGCAGTCTCCCCATTTCCTCAACCACTACCTCTCACCACCTAGGTGTCATCTGTAAACATTGCAAAAATACCCTCAGTTCCTTCATCCAGATCATCAATGTATAACAAGAATTAAATAGCCTAATGTGTGGCACCTCATCAAATGCATTCTAAAAATCCAAATATTATTTCCACTCTTTCTATTTTACTTATCTTGCTTGTTACCTCCTCCTCAAAGAATTCTAATAATTTGTCAGACATGATTGAATACGTTTTCACATTTTTCACACGGAGTAGTCCGGGTATAGAATGCACTGTTTTGAAGTATGGAGGACGCAGGTTCCATTGAGGCATTCAAGGAGGGCACAACATTATCTGGAGGGGGAGGGGAGGAAGATGGGGTGCACAGCTGCCAAATATTAGCTCAATGCAAAGTTCTTCTGGAATGGCATGGGGCAAGATGGGGCAGGAATTAGACATGCCCAGAGAGGTAATACAGTGAGTTTGTTAAAACACAGCAAGAAATCTCAAGGCAAAAAATCCCTCCAAAAAACTTGGATACAACTCAGATTTCGCCAAGGAAAAAGGATGACTTAGCTCAAAAACTTTTCTCAGCTTGATGAATCCGAGTTGACATCAAAGCTCATACCAAATACCAGTTTCAGAGATAGTAGGAACTGCAGATGCTGGAGAATCTGAGATAACAAGGTGTAAAGCTGGATGAACTCACCAGGCCAAGCAGCAGAGGAGCAGGAAAGCTGGCGTTTCGGGTCTAGGCCCGAAACGTCAGCTTTCTTGCTCCTCTGATGCTGCTTGGCCTGCTGTGTTCATCCAGCTCTGCACCTTGTTATACCAAATACTAGTTTCTAGTTTCCATGATCTTCTCATTTTAATGTCAGTGGAAGAGATATTACACCTATCATTTTTTAATTTCAACTTAATGGTGGCCAAGGGCAAAAGGCTGGCACTAATAAATCTAGAAAGGTGCTCTGAGACTTAACTATCAAGTTACCTTCTTTTGACATACATATGCCAAGGGAAGCAAATGTTTTAGTCAAATTGTTTGCAGTTAGAGATAAATCGTTGCGGTCAAAACTTCAAGACAGAACACTCAGAAGCAGACATACCCAGAATGCAGAGAATTCCATCAGATTTTGATTTGCTGCTGGAACGTAGAATAGCTTGAACTTGTCGAAGACGACTGCAGCTACAAAAAAAATAAATAAATAAATACTATTTAATGATTTTGTATTCAACAGTCACAAATCCTGCAACTATTAAAGCCATACACAAGGACATGCTAAAGTTAAATAAAGGTTAGGCATCAAATGCTTTGAAAATTATCAGAAATTTAAATATTGAGTCATCTTGCAAACTATTTTCTTGTGTCTGTGTCAAGTCCTAACCTGTGGTAATTCTTCAAAGTATTTTAGAACCCATAAACTATCAATAATAATATACATAGAAGTACACACAATTCTGTACTTGTTGTTTTCTATCATTGTAACTTCAGTTTACATTACTGTAAATACGTTAGAAGCATAAGGTGCAGTATAAAATGGTATGTTACAATCCCCATGGAAACCAATAACCTAACAGAATTGAAGCTCCTAAATGACACCAACAGAAGAAAACACAGAACAAAATTTCACTTTTTGAAACCTTGACTGTAACAGGTAAGCCAATATAAATCAAACATGGATTACCAGGCAAATTGTATTTAGTGGAATAGATGAACAATACTTCAACAAAGACAATTCTCAGACATACAGGCTGTTTCCCCAGCATTTAAGTCCTGAACACCTTTCAGAAGTCTGACTTCCTGAAGAGCAGTTAACTCCTCTTACCCGACAAGATATCCTCAACACAAAGCCTGACCACAGCTTTAATCCATCTGAGCTCCACTGATTTGTTGGTGAACCTAAGGGTGCACTTCTGTAAAACCACCTCAGTTCAGTTCACAACAATCTTCAGATAACAAGTCTTTTCAGCTGGCCCAAACACATACAAAGACTTGTTATCTGGCTTGTTAATGATCTTTAGGGAAGGAAACTACCATCCTTACGTGACTCCAGATCCACAACAATGTGGTTGATTCTTAAATCACCCTCTGGGCAATTAGGGATGGGCAGTAAGTGCTGCCTGGCCAACAATGTCCTCGTCCCGTGAATGAATAAAGAAAAATAGATTCCATTTCTTGAGTGCTCTTAGTGTTGCACTCATCCAGGCAAGTGGAGAGTATGCCATCACACTCCTGACTTGTAGATGGTGGACAGGCTTTGAAAAGTCAAGAGGCAAGTTACTCACCACGGTATTCCTTGCTTCTGATTGACTCCTGTACCACTGTTTACGTAGCAAGTCCAGTTGAGTTTCTGGTCAATCATAACTCCAAGGATTTTGATAGTGGGAGATTCAGTGATGGCAACACTGTTGAATGTCAAGGGGTGGTGGTTAGATTGTCTCTTCTTATTGGTGATGGTCATAGCCTGGCATTTGTGTGGCACAAATGTTATTTGCCACTTGTCAGCCCAAGCCTGGATATTGTCCAGATCTTGTTGCATTTGAACACTGACTGCTTCAGTATCTGAGGAAAATGGTGAAGACTGGGTAATGATTGGCAAACGTCCCCACTTCTGACCTTATGAGGGAGGGAAGATCATTGATGAAGCAGCTGAAGTTGGTTGGGCCTAGGACACTGCCCTGAGGAACGCCTGCAGAGATGTCCTGGAGCTGAGATGATTGACCTCCAGCAACCACGACCATCTTCCTATGTGTCAGGTATTGGCTCCAACCATCGGAGAGATTGTCCCTGATACCCTTTGATTACAATTTTGCAAGAGTTCCTTGATGCCACACCCAGTCGAATGCAGCTTTGATGTCAAGGGTATCACTCTCACCTCATCTCTAGAATTCAGCTCTTTTGTCTATGTTTGAACCGAGACTGCAATGAGGTCAGGAGCTGAGTGGCCCTGGCGGAACCCAAACTGAGACCACTGAGCAGGTTATTGCTGAGCAAGTGCTGCTTGATAGCACTGTTGATGACACCTTCCATCACTTTACTGCTGACGATAGAGATTGGACTGATGAGGCGATAATGGCTGGGTTGGATTTGTCCTGCTTTTTGTGTACAGGTCATACTCAGGCAATTTTCCACATTACCAGGTAGATACCGGTGTTGTAAATGTACTAGAACAGCTTGGCTAACCAAGTAGCAAGTTCTGGAGCACAAGTCTTCAGTACTATTGCCGGAATGCTGTCAGAGCCCATAGCCTTTGTAGTATCCAGCGTCTCCATTTCGATATCACATGGAGTGAATAAAATTGGCTGAAGACTAGTATCAGTAATGCTGGGGACCACTGGAGGAGGCGGAGATGGATCACCCACTTGGCACTTCTGGCTGAAGATTGCTGCGAATGCTTCATTCTTATCTTTTGCATTGATGTGCCGGCCTCTTCCATCATTGAGGAAGGGGATATTTGTGGAGCCTCCTCCTTCAGGGAGTTGTTTAATTGTCCACCACCATTCACGACTGCAGAACTTAGATCTGATCCATTGGTTGTAAGATCGCTTATCTCTGTCTTCCACTTGCCGCTTTTGCTGTCTGCCATGCAAGTCAGTCCAATTTGGTAGCTTCACCAGGTTGACACCTCATCCTAAGGTCTGTCTCGTGCTGCCCCCGGCATGCCCCCCTACACTCTCCATTGAACCAGGGTTGATCCCCTGGCTTGATGGTAATGGTTGAGTGGGGGATATGCCAGGCCATGAGGTTACAGATTGTGCTGGATTTCTGCTGCTGTTGATGGCCCACAGTGCCTCATGAGTTGCTAGATCTGTGCAAAGTCTGTCCCATTTAGCTTGGTGGGAGTGCCACACAACACAATGGAGGTTATTCTCAATGTGAAGGTAGGGCTTCGTCTCCACAAGGACTGTGCGATGGTCATGCTTACTGAGACAGTCATGGATAGATGCAACTGCAGCTGGGAGATTAGTAAGGTTGAGGTCAAATAGCTTATCCCTCTTGTTGACTCACTCACCACCTGCCACAGACCCAGTCTCTCGCAGCTATGTCCTTTAGGATTCAGCCAGCTCAGTCTGTAGTACTGCTGCCAAGCCACTCTTGGTGGTGGACATTGAAATCCCCCACCCAAAGTACATTTTGTGCCCTTGCCATCCACAATGCTTCGAAGTGTTGTTCAACATGGAGTACAAATTCGTCAGCTGAAGGAGGACAGTATGTGGTAATCAGCAGGAACTTTCCTTGCCCATGTTTAACCTGAAGCCATGAGACTTCACGGGGTCCAGAGTCAATGTTGACGAATCCCAGAGCAACTCCCTCCCGAGTGATAATCAATGCCGCCATCTCTGCTGGGTCGGTCCTTCTGGTGGGACAGGACATATCCAAGGATGGTGAACATGGTGTCTGCAACATTATCTGTGAAGTATGATTCTGTGAGTATGACTATGTCAGGCTGTTGCTGCACTAGTCTGCGAGGCAGCTCTCCCAGTTTTGGCACAAGTCAGCACGTTAGTGAGGAGGACTTTACAGGGTCAACAGGGCTGTTTCTGCTGTTGTCTTTTCCGATGCCTAGGTGAATGCCAGGTGACCCATCCGGTTTCATTTCTTTGAGACTTGGCAGACTTGAATATTGGTACAAATCCTCATGGGTCTTAATTGTAACATACTTCTGGGAATCCTGGTCTAAACACAAATGCAACCAAGCAAGGCTCATGTCCAGCTTCCAAGGACAGCCCCTCTGCCAGCTTTGCTTATAAATCCTCTATTCGAGGAATTGAGTATTTATCCAGTTGCAAAAAAAATGGTTTACTGTTTGTTTAAAATCCCCACAAAGGCAAATTGATGTATCGGGCATCAAAATCATAAGGCAAAAGGCACTGGACGGGCCTTGCAGAATTGCTTCCTGGTCAACACGCAAGGTGGCTTTGGTTCCCTTGATAGACCTGGACCTTCCCGGAAGACTTCTGGGTACTTAATTAAGACTTCACTCAGATAGCATTTTTCAATTGGAAAACGGCTAAAACAATCTAGATCAATCTCTCGCAACCAATTCCCCCCAGCAACCTTGGGCCTGAGTCTTTTGCTACAGTGATAACTGAGCCAGATGCTTTTCATTTGAGACTGGAACCAAAGTTAATCTGCAAAAGGTTCCAGGTATAGGTTCTCAGCCTAGCCGAGGTGTTGAGCAAAGTTAAGGGCTAGAGTTTAGAATGAATTTTATTAAAAACTGGTTCCGCGATCACTGATACGGCCGCGCCAACACTGACCTCCATTGAAATTGGATGATCATTTATTCAGACATTTATCTTGATTGTTTCCGATTTTGATGTTGCTAAACAATTTAACTGTTCCAAACCAGATGTAGGAGACATTTTAGGGTATGAACTTTCCTGGATACCGGCCTATGAGTTATCTTATTTAATTTAGATCGAGTCGGACTCTTGATCTCTTGAATCTGCATACCGACAACAACTACAATGGCTTGCTGGCCAGGTTCCTGAAGACAATTTTAACCATTTGACCAAGGCTTGTTCCTATTTTGGGGTTTTGCTGACAGCCAACCCAGAGTGCCTCTGATTAAGATTTGAGAGTGAGGCTGTGCAATTGTCGGCCTCAAGTGGATTACCCAAGCTCACTTGGATTGGTAAGGGTCGTACTATTCCTTAACTATGTCTATCAATTCTTGAAAGGTTTTAGTATCTGATGCCTCCAGGAAAGTTAGGCTCCTAATAACAGAGAAAGCTGCAGCTCCGCAGGCTGTTGGGAGAATTACTATTTTTTGGCTGCCACAATGTCATTTTCCCAGAAAAAAAAAAACACCTTTCCATGCACTGGACCCAGGCCTCAATGGCAGGGTCGAACAAGATTACCTTCATAGACAAAGGCATGATACAAGAAATGCTTACAGCCACTCAAAAAACACGTTGAGACTTACTTCAAGATCATCCTTTATTCCCATTGCCACTGATCGAAATCCATGAAGGACAGTATGCCGTCACCAAGTAACCCTGTATTCCCACAAGAACTGCCCTTGACTTTAGTATTGCCTCATTCAGAGTTAGGTGCCAGAGTATCAGTATCTCTGACACTCCCTTTTTATGTCAGCCAGGGCTCCTTGACTAGACCAGATTAACAGCCCCAATCAGGGAGTTCATTTTCTGTGATGTCCAGCTGGCTGACCTCATTACAAT